ATTAATTAATTGTATTAATTATATTAATTTATTATAAAATGGATTATAGTTACCATAATTATTCTTGTCATCATCACTATCATCATAATTATTACTATTATCTGCTATAATTGTTACTATCATCATAATCAACTGTTTAATTGCTGATCCGCATGTGACAGATAGAATTTTTATAGTAAAATTTGACATAACCTTCATAGTAGTAAAAATTGATCGTCATTTTTTTCAAGTGAAAAAATATAATAATTTGTGTAATTGATGATATGAATGTACATCCAGAATCTCGAAAAAACATATACAATTAAAAAACAATTATTTTTTTAGAGTTTCGAAATTTTTAGATAGAGGAAATGGAGATTTCATAGTAGCTTTATTATTATATTTTGCTGATTCCTATTTTGATAAAATGACTAGTTACGTTATTAATCTTTTTTTTGATATTTTCTTAACCTATTTACTTCAACATTTCCTTCAATATTTATATTTTCCTTATTATTCTCTACCAATGCTCGCTCTGATACTTCTTTCTTGAAATTGGCACTGTACCTTCCTATCTACCCTTTGATAGCTTTTACTGTTGGTATTTCTTCCAAGGCAATTTCTCCTTTTGCAACAAGTTCTTCTAAACAGGTATGCATATTTTCAGGTAAATAACAATCCACGGCTCTCAAGTTTCCAGTCAAAAAGTAACCTTGTAAATACTGAACCACCTTTTTTGATATACTTTTTCCCCCACCCTTATTACCAAGTTTTAGGTTCTCTTTCAAAGCCCATCCTTTGTTGAGAGGAAACTCTTGATCGAGTCTAAAGAATTCAAGTTAGTCTTTTTTTTTGTAAGTTTATAAACAAAAAATAAACATAATTACCCTAAGAAAAAAGGTGAAATCGGCAATTCGGTAAGAAGAAGGGTGAAATCGGCAATTCAAAAAGAGGTGAGACAAAATAAGAGGAAAAGAAGTGAAGAGAATAAAAATATGTTAGAAGGAGGTAAATTGAGTACAGAAGAAGAGGAATGGAGTCAAAATTAATGAGTGAAATTGGCGAGAAGAAGGGTGAAATTGACGATCTGATAAGGAGAAAGGTAAAATCGGCGAGAAAAAAGAAAGAGACAAAACAAGAGGAAAGAAGGGAGTAAAAATATGCCAGAAAGAGGTGATGGAATCGAGAAGAAGAGGAATAGGGTTGAAATTAACAGAAGAAAGAAGGTGAAATCGGTGAAATCGGTGAGAAGAAGGATAAAATCGGTGATTTCAGAAAGAGGG